ATGTACCCCTGGCTGTGTAGTGTACAGCTCACAAAGGTCGGGAATCAGCATCACAGGATGTTAAAGAATCAAGTCATGTCACCTTTCTGACTCACACACTTGTCTCAACTTAAATACTACAACTAAATTATGGCCAACAATGTGATTAATTATCTCGAAATAGCAGACAAATCATTGTAAAGAGGATGCCAATTTTGGTAATGGAATAGACCACTTTTTATCCAAGCTCTACCAAGCTCTAACATAGAGTGTTTTCGCAAGTAAAGGTGCCCAAGAAGCGTCAAGATTCTTATGATGGCCAAATGGTGATGTGACTCTGTAGCAGAATACCATATGATGTGGTTCACATCTTTGGTGCAACGTCATCCCCTGGTTGCACTAATTATGCCCTACTCTACTAATTCCAGTTAAGAGACGAGTGAAGAGACTATTCAGCATAACTTTTATGTAGATGACATACTGACAGTGACAGATAGAAGAGCTCTGGCTGAAGGTTTAATAGATACAAGTAAGAAGAGTGGGTTATGTCTTACAAAGTGGATGAGTAATAAAAGGCAAGTTTTAGAAGTTATTCCTAAATAGGAAAGAGCCAGTGAGGTTAAGAATCAGGATTTTGATCAGGATAGCTAACATATAGAACATGCATTAGGAATGCAGTGGAATGTCGAAAACGATGAGCTCGGATTCCAGGATGGCATTAAAGAAAGTTCTTCAACTAGAAGAGGCGTGCTGAGAATGGTGAGTTCAGTCCATGATCCGTTAGGTCTAGCAGCTCCTGCAGTATTGCCAGCAAAGATAATACTTCAGAATTTGTCTAGAGATAAATTGGATTGGGAGGAAGAGATTTCCAACAAGCAATGTAAGCAGTAAAACAGATTTAGGTGTAAGTAGGTGTATTAAACCAGAAAAATTAGGTGAGCTAACTAGCTGCATCACTTTTCAGATGCCAGTGAGTCTGGTTATGGGACAGTTACTTATATTAGAATGGTCAACCAGAAGAATGAAGTTAATTGTGCCCTGCTGAGTGGTAAGGCAAGAGTATTACCACTGAAGACAATTACTATACCGCATATGGAGTTAACTGCTGCCACAGTGTCTATATGTATAAACAGACTTCTGAAGAGAGAATTGGATTTACCAATTACCGAATCCTATTATTGGACAGACAGCCAAACTGTATTAAGATATATCAACAATAAGACCGCCAGATTTCACGCATTTGTGGCAAATCGAATATCTGTCATTCATAAAGGTTCTGAACCAAGACAGTGGTCATATGTTAGTACCAACGACAATCCTGCAGATAAGTGCTCAAGAGGGCAGCCAATTGAAGAACAAGCGATGGCTCAGAGGCCTAGAGTTCTTACGGAAAACAAAGCAGGAATGGCCAAATAACCCTTGTGATGTACCATTAGACTAAGATGATCCAGGAGTGAAATAGAATTCCAGTGTACACAAGATAAATAGATAATTTGCAGAGTCCGGTGAATGACCTTATTGAGCACTACTCAAGTTGGTACAGTCTGAAAAAGCTGTTGCATGGATTCCAAAGGTAGAGAATAC